ATCCTATTCAGCTAGCAATATTGACTATAATGTTAACAAATAAAGCTCTGCTAACAAATCCATGGGGCGGTTGGCACGTCACATACAATACAGAGAGTCAATTAGGCGAAAAGATATTCGGATAGACAAGCACTGCCTGGCCCCTAGTTAATTTACTTTGTTGATATCTGCGAACTTTTTCTTGGTGAGTTTAAAGCAACTGCAGAAAAGACAAGTGTTTTATGAACTGTTCTCCATTTTAATACATAGTATGTTTATCCATAAATGAAAAGATGTTAATTTTTACTTGTATGTTACTTACATATAACATGTTATATGTTTACAAGGTACGGCGATTGGGCATTGGTCAAGGTAAAAATAAAATGCAGAAACTGACGTCTTGTCTTTGTAAGTTTGGTTGAAATGAAACCATCTTTAAGTAGAAGTGTATCATTCACTTAAAAATAATAATATTGTCCTCCATCTCACAATTAGAATAACACCAATCTAAGGGTTAAAATCCTTAAAAAAGCCACGTGCCGCCGCGTGCCGGTAACCGCCGGGTATACAAATTAAGGCTTAAGGAGCCCTAACTGTCTATATAATTTTTTGGGTTAACTCGTGCATAAGTTTGTTAGTTTAGTGATCGTTTACGAATGGATTGAGTATGTACAATTGTTTATGGTACCGTGAGGCGTTTCTTAAATATTGACTCTTCTACAAAATATAACGCATGTTGTTTGTAATGTTACTGTCCGTCATTACGTTCTCATTAGGATAAAATATTGCGTACTGTTGAATGGCGAAAATTTTAAGATAAAATAATACACAATATATTCCACGAGACGACTGGCGAAAAGATCAAGTCGTAGCTGATCGTCAAGTAGCAACTTCGAAAAAAATTAGAATGATGATAAACGTCTTCCACATAACATCACAAAAAATCAGTGATATTTTTCTATTCTGTAACGTTCGTGTTTTTGTAATAAACCCCCTTTACCCTGCGGCGGATTAAAACAGCCATGTCTGTTGCTAGTTAGTGACACCTCGTGTTGTTGGATTTGAAATGACACAATGGGTGTTGTCAATTACTGTATTTAGTAGGGAATTCTTGTTAAGACCTATTTTTGTCACACAAATTGCTGATAAAATCAAAAGTTAAATTATACCAGTAGAAAAATCAATTTGATGAATTTCTCGAATCATTCAGGATACAAAACAGTAAGGTAAACTAAGGCTACTATACCTCTATAAAATTTGAAACAATTGTTTTCTTTATCTACTTACTTCATTATTAAAATATTCAATACGGAAAACTTTCATGTTTATTAATTAAAACGCTAAAGGAACCGACTGGCACTTGCGCAAACTTTTCAATTTCACTGTTTAAAACAATACTCTATATTTGTATATGTACTATAATATACAAAGAAATAAAATGCAACAGACGGATGAGTAAAGAAAAAAGGAACAAAGAAGTGGCTGGTACTTAAGTTAATAAAGTAACAAAGTTGAAGCATATCTGAAATTAATAATTAATATTGAAAAGCCGACAATAATAGATGGCTTTCAAAAACATATTAACATAAATCAACAAAAGCATAAAAAAATCATTTACAAATCGCACCAATGTTCGACACACAACTCTTTCTACACTTAATGGCCCTAAAGCCGCATCTAACAATCTGTAACCACATACAACCACACCCACTTTATAATGAGCAAAATCTAACAAAATGTAAGATAATTAAGCAAAAACTACAAAGCTCGTGCCCTGAGGCATTCGCACTTCGCATTCAAATGAGCACAATGCATGAACACCCCTCGTTATGAGGTTTAACCGCAAATTTGGTTCATTAAAGGACATGATTAAAGAGTCGATTGAGTGTGTTAAGAATTAATGTCTTTAGATGTTGTTTAGAAAACGTAAAAATATTTTAACACATTATGTATACCGATCATGATGGATGGCCTCTTTGCATAAAAAAGGGA